AATGAGAAATTATGGTTGAAAGTTGGACAATAAATAAGTGGAATAAATGGGAATGAATTGGAAAAATGTTCCAATCCCACATAGGTTGCAAACACAACCTGGAACCACTTGATAAACTTCAAGTTTGGAAATGGATTTGGGCCCAAAGGGGTACCAACAGTCTTTGATATAGGGGACAAAGTCTAGACTAATCCAAGGCCACACGTACACGAGCCGTCGCCGCAATAATCTGTTCGACCTGCTTGGGTCGGCTTGGCTCGACACAGCAAGGCACGCGGGATCGGGTTGGGGCCGTATCAGTTTGCAAAAATCGTGCATTGAGGTGGGCGTGAGCGGGGACAGTTTGCAAAAAATGTGCGTTAAGTGGGCGTGAGTGGAGAGTTGTATGGAAACTGCTCAACCGTTAACTATTCCTTCTATTTAAATGGTCCTCAGGCTTTCATCGAAAAAAATGAAGATATATACGAATTCATTCTGCATACTCTTCTTTCATTGTTCTTGTCTGCATTAGTCTACAAAGAATACTTCCGGTTCTGGTTTGTTGTCTTGCAGTCGAAGTGCTACTTTTGCAAGTGTCCGATCGTTGTATCTTAGGAGACGCTTTACTACATACCGTAAGCACCGTGTGACGGGTTAACAACGTTTTAAGGACAGAGAGCCCAGTTCTCACCTCGATCCTCCATATTCCGAATTCTGCATTTTGTTCTTCCTGTTNTGCAGTCGAAGTGCTACTTTTGCTAGTGTCCGATCGTTGTATCTTAGGAGACGCTTTACTACATACCGTTAGCACCGTGTGACGGGATAAAAAGGTCTTAAGAACAGAGAGCCTAGTTCTCGACTAGATCAACCCTATTCCGAATTCTGCTCGTGTTTATGCATTTTGTTCTTACCGTTTTACAATTGTCATTCTGTTTTTAGCAATTCTGAAAAATTTATTCTATGTATGTAAAGTAAACAACAATCTTAAGACCTTTTTAGTTTTCCAAAATTGTACTTGTTTATTTCTAACATTGCAGATTCTTGTACGATAGTATCTACTTCCAATTATGATTCTCCGGGAGGCAATGCTACAAAAGTGAGAAATCGATAAGCTTAGCAACACCATTACTGTCTATGACAATGTTTTCTGTGGTTAGATTTCTATGAATGATAGGCGTGGGAAATGC